ATGAATCTCTAGTGCTCCCCCCAGAGAGCTCATCAGTCTTTAACCCAGTAAGACTCATCACAAATTATTCATGTGGATTATTCATTGCTGTACCTGGCAGCCTCCCCTCAAACAAAGTTAACTAAACAATACATTTTTTAGCAATTTTGCTTTCTAAATACATATTGTTGATGTGTTTTGTGAGTTACTTTAACATCAAGAACTAATGTCAAACCATGACAAAAGGTAGAAAAGGACAATATACAAACCATCAAGCAATTGTGGGCTGCCTTGATAGTGTTGTTGCTATGACCCAACAAACAAAATAAGGTCTAATTATTGTCTAAATGTATGAGATTTTTTGGAATAATATTATCCAGGTGGTCAAACACAAAACTTCCACTACACTTCAATAAAAAAGAGCAGAGAAAATATGCTTGTTGCGTTCTTACTATAGCCAAGGATAACACAATGACTTAGCTAGTAAAAATGATGCTGTTTTCTTTCAAATGTCACCGTTTGTGTGTTTGAAGTAGGGCAAGGATTTTCCTTGTTTTACCTTTGTTTACAAAGTGACACAAGCACAATGTTTGGGTTTAAGGAGAGTCTACAGAGATGTAGATTGTTCAGACATATTCCTGTCTGTTGGAAACAAAAATAATCTGCTAATCAGGACTAATCCCTTCTCAATATGGCTGCATGACTCACCTGGACTGGCTTCATGACAGTAAAGGTGTAACCAGCAACAAGTTTTGAGATTTGTATGAACATGTCCACAGGTGTGGGAATATTGAAACAGACAAACAAGAAGCTCAACTGCAATCAACGTTTAAAAAAACAGATGTATTTTTTTTTTTGACAAAAAAACTCACAGTTAATCTGTCTATATAACAAAGGTGTAAGGTTTTCTGTTCTGCCCTCCTTGTCTACAATCTACAGAGTACCTCCGCGCTTAAGTAGTGTTTTAAATGTAAAAACACTGGACTACTACTTGTTGATGTGTTCTTATTTGGAGACAAACAGAGAACTGCACTGAAAACAATCTTCCTCCATAACAGTGATACGAATCTTTGTGTTACAATTGTATGTACTTTGTAAATAATTTAAGTTTATTCCGTCACTCAGGTGTGTATTGCAGCTATGACCTTTTCAGAGCATTAAAAATAATAAAACTTGGAATAAAAGCAACAAAAACAAAAGAAACATATTTGAACTGAGGAATAGGTAGAAATAAGTCAAAAGGGAAATGGTTCAAAATCTAATTAAAATTGAAACATCAAGTGAAGTTGTAGTTGAACATTTTCAAAGAAACGGAAGTCAATGTTTAGCTGTGGTTGTTCACATTCTCATGTTAAGATTAGCATGTGTGAGTGACTCGAGCCACATTAGATTAAGATCTTTTTTGCAAGATGTAGTGCGCAAACACTTTAAGTTAATTAAAATGTAGCTTCCTCTGTGTAGAGATTTCGATCAAACATTGTAGAGATTTACTCATAACTTTATTACAACTAATTGTGATTTGCAATTTTCTGTATATCTGTTCTAGCTCATGTTCAGTCAGTAGGTTACATATGGTGACAAGCCATGCCTCTCAAAGTTAGACTTTTTTTTCACAATAGTAATGTCTTAAAGCTGATGCTTTGCAGTGAATCAGGCTCCACACTTTTCCTTTTCTCATTTAGCTCTCACTCTCAGCGTCTCCGTCTGGCTCATGGCAGAATTTTGTCTTACTTGGAAGCACAGGAGCCTTGTGGCCAGTTTAAAGTGGGAATATCTGATTGCACCATCATGTGGAAACAGAGAGGGGAACAGCTGAGACAGTCAGGTGGATTATCTGTCCATCCCCTCAGTCAGTGGACAATGGTGAGGAGGGAAATGTGCTGCTAAAACCCTTAAAGGAAGCAGCATCTAAAATTATTGGGATACAGTAGTTTGTTTTCTGAGTTTGGACTTGTTTCTGTAATGGTTCTGTTCAGAAGATTTTTCCGCAGCGTTTTGCTTATTTGTTGTTCTTATTTTTTGTTAAATGAAAATTAAAAGTTTGACTAAAACGTTACACAAAAGTAATACGGTCAAAGAATGTAACAGAACAAATGCACAAAATTAGGCAACCCTAACTCAATAACACTAAAGCCTAACATCCGGACTATTTCCTGGTCCAAACAAAAAATTTGATAGTCAACCATCAACACAGGCCCACACAGACACAGACGTAAGTTCAGACTTTTTAAAATCTAACCAAAGCAACAATCAACTTAAATTACAGTCACTTCTTCTGCAGCACATCTGTGGTTAACAGCCCAACCACACGTTCAGCCTTCTTGCGTTTTGCTCACGACACAATTACATCAAACTGCCTCCTCAGACTTTCTCTAATTAAACAAATGTCACAGGCGTACTCCACTCAGCTATCACTGCAGACCAGACCACGTAAAAGGTCAATGATAAAAAGAAATGGGTGAGAATAGTGGAGGGAAAAAACTATAGCTAGTCTCCCTTGGCCTGCACAAAATAAAATGACGTAAAATATATTTGTAAATTTGTGGGAGCGAGTGTTTCATATTTAATGATATGTTCCTTGCACATGATTTCCTGCCCAATTACTTCAAGATGTAGGGATAGGAAGCTACTGTTTAGTGCACCCAACAAACTAAATGAAATTTACAAAAAATCAGCCCAAATCTGTCTCTGCTGAAACTTGTGTTGAAGCATATAATAAAGACCACATCATACCTACATGTACTGCACTAAAGCAAAAAAATATATATCCAATGTACTGCAAATAAGCTTGTTTAAATGCATTTTTGCCAAAAAAACAAAAAACAAAACATATTTTAGTGACCCACTGGGGAGTGGTCGCTAAACCTGCTTCATTGGTCAAGTACATTTACTCACAATGTGGTTGGCTTTGAAAACCAGCCAGATTGTGATGCATGTTTGTGAGGATTTTCTTTGTGCATTGTCAAATCTATGCAATAGTCTATGTCAGTTAATTCAGTCAAAAATATTATTAGAACTAATAATGAGCCTGTTTTGTTTACTCACTGGTATTAGGAAAACCCTTTTCCTACAAGGAAAATAATTTGTAGATACCTAAGAAATTAGTAAATCCCAGCCCTACATTATCTTTCTTGAATAATTGAATTTAATACTTGGTTTCTCTAATGTTTCTGTCTGTGTTGGCGTAGTTACAGTCTCTGTTTGTTCTCCAGGTTGGTACTCTGAGTGCGTCTTATATGCTGAAGCCATTCCCACAGATGGAGATCAAGGTGACAGATGACAATGCCTCAGTGCTTCATTGGGCCAAATACATTCTTTTCTCATTACCATGTATTTACAGTAATTCTTTTATCTGATCCTGTTCCTGTTTTGCTTCAGTCTGAGTTTGCTCTTGTTTCAAACATCATGATTTGTAGATGTGCCACCACAGGTTTCTTAAAGACATTATATAACCACACATGTAGACAGCTGCAGCGAAACACCTCCTTTAGGATGTGACGTAGCCAATGACTAGCATTTGCGTAGCTCAAACAGTAGTCGGAGGAGTCTGTCAGTGTAAAACCACAAATGGCAGTGATGACACTGTGGAAGCAATTTCTTCCATGCACATGGACACCCCCTTCTGTAGCTCACAGTGTAGGTGGTGTCTGACAGAACCCATGTAATGTGTCTTTGCATGCAACTAGAAAGTGCGAAATTGAAGCACACAGGTGTGAAACTACAGTTCAGAGGCAGAATTTCTGCCCCTGTCAGAAATATCAAGGAAGACAAGAAAAAGATGTTAGGATTATGTATAAATGAAAATTATATTTTTGAGCTCAAAAGTTGTGTGTGAGTCAAAGTGGGGGAAAAAAAAATGTCATTCAAATCTACCATAAATTTCACTTCAATGAACCCAATGAAGAGTATAATGTACCCAACCTTTTTGTGGTATTTTTCCTTTGTGAGGGAATTGAGATTTGTATAACTAATCAGAAAAAAACATATATGTTTTATGTAGCCTTGCAGCTACTGCAGAAGTTTCCTGTTTGCAAAGATGCAAAGTTTTTTGCAGAACAATTAGTTTTTATTTTGTCAGCTTGGAAAAAAAAAAGATATTTAGTTAACTGACAACATTTACTACCTTTCTTTGTATTTGCTCCTCAATGTATAACTAAAGATACTCAAACAAAGGTGATAAAGGATCACAGCAACAGACCTCTCAAAAATAAAGGAAGTAAATGGAACAGAATGCATGAAAGGAAGTGGGCAACCACAATGCAACAGGGACCACAATTTAGAATCGTGACATGAAAATCCAAAACTATAAAATCACAATTTACAAACCCAAAGATTTTCATATCGGCATGGACCCACTGATTGATCCAGTGGGTCAGTCATGCTGCGATGACTGACCCACTGGTCAGTCAACAACAAACTGTGATCCATGCTGCGATGGTTTTATGAGAACCATCACAAACCTCTTCAGCATATTACTTCCAGCACCTTTGATGATAAAATATTCATTTGTTGCCTATGATATCCTGGTCCAGTTGTTAGAAATAGATTAAAAGGACAATCACCAACATATAGTCATCAAATCAAATCCAAATATTTGATGTCTTTAAAACTGTATGTTAGCATTTAAAATAAAATGGTTGAGTTCATTTTAGTTGACATGAATTTTTGCATTGATAAGATTATTTTTCATTATGTAGCTTTTTGAAAACAAGAGAATTTTAGCCCATAAGTTCTAACCAGAGACACATTGAAGAGTGTACTTTATCCTTTTATTGTTTTTTTGTTTTTGTTTGGTTTTTTGGCTCATATCCAAAGGCCCATTCTGTTTATGTTCACTTTTTGAGTAATCATAATGTTATGTATGATCAGTGTGATTATAATGCTCATCTGGTTCAACTGGTTTCAGAGAAGAATATTTGAAAAGCACCATCCATTACAGTGGATATTGTAATGTTAGTCAACTATTTAAAAGCGTCTTAACTTTACAGAAATAACACAAAGAAAGTCACAAAGGCTTATTCAGAGATCAATAATTTTTTACTCAAATAATATACAGAATATAAGCACAAGTTTGTTGTACACACACATTAAGAAAAAACATATGACATGGGTAAAAAAACAAAACAAAAATAAAACAACCAGAAATATATATAGACAAAAAATAATTGATGAGGTTTATCTTCAGGTGCTAGTAAGTCAGGCTACAACTCAAAAGTCCCCGAACAGGTTTGTTCTGTGAAAAGTATGCTTAATTTCTCTGAAACTGCAGAGCAACTTCCTGGATCAGTGACATTTGCAGGCAGTTTTGGGGAGGTACTCTTTCATCTGTCATTCTGACTGCAGCAGACCTTCACATTTAGAAGGCCTGGTGGTTCTTGCCTAAATAGTAAGTCACACCTTGTGCAAATCAATCCAACAATGGTAAATAATCAAATTTAAAATTTAAAAATAGAACTTTTCTTGAAAACTTAAAGTATTGATCTGGGAAGATTTCATTCCAGAAAAATTCCCTTCTTTTATATAATTTCACAAACAAGATGATTTTTTATTTTATTATCCAGCTCTAGATTTTAAGCTAGAGCTAGTGAAAAGCATCTCAGACTTTTAAAAACAAAATACAAAAATACAAAACCGATGTTTTCTTTCTGTTTTGTTTCTGTGGGCGCCCTCATACCACATGAGGGCGCCCACCTCTGTTGAACTAATTTGAACATGAGCAAGAAAGCTTTTTAGGATTCAACAGAAAAAAGTTTTTGTTTTGTTTTGTTTTTTTCCATTGTGGTGTCTCCCACTTGTCTAGAAAGAGAGATGTCATCAGTATAAAAACACCGCTGCTCAGACATGTTTCCAAAATCTGCAGAAGTAAAATGTTCGTAACTTTACATCAGTATCATTATTATTATTTCAATAAATAATCAATTTTCAGAAAATTTTGAATAGAGGACACGTTACTTTACATACCGCATATGTGACATGCTCATTTTAATGTAAAATAAAATAAACAAAGTACAAAATGAATCCAGAAATTGTATTTTTAAATGTTTTTCCTACCTAAACCAAAACCACCTTCTTGAAAGGAACCTTCAATTCTTAGAATGAATCAACGTATCTGCAGTTTCCTTTCAGGTTGATTTTACAACTAACTGAGCCTCAACCAGGCATGAAGCAACGTAGTGCTCATCTGGTAAATGGTGAAAGGTATTTAGGGCAAAGTTTCATACTCCTCTGACTGCACTAATCTGAAAAAATATTTCCAGCAAGGCACAAACAACATGAAAGTTTTCGCATTTACAATATCAGTCTTTCCAAACACCAGAACAAGAAAACAGAGGAGGCAACTCTTGGTGGGGGGAAAAAGAAGCACATTTTGCTCCATGTGGTACTTCCCCTCACCCCACATGTTTCTGAAAACAGATTTGTTTTTTTTTTATCTTGTGCAAAAGAGACATGCGACTGTTGGAACAGATCAAGGAAACACTGAATAACAAAACAAAGAAACTTAAAAACAACGTAAATGAAAAGAGAAATTTTGTTCTATGGTTTTTTTTTGTATGGGGCACGTTTTATATTTTCTACCCACATTATTGTTCAAAGTGCGTATTTCTCAGAGTTGTCCCAGCCCTGTTAGAGCATGTATAATGTCAGCAGAAGGTCTATAAAACCTGCATATAAATGCATATAATAGACAATTCACCAGGTAGTATTGGCAAATGTATACTTATGAGAAAAAAAAACATATTCACCATGTCAGCCATAATAACTCCTCCTAAGAAGTATAACATCAAGATGACAAATTTCTATCTTGAATGGTTTCACAGTTTTAAAAAGAGAGGTATAATTCAATAATCCTACACTGTATTACAACAGAACAATCAGTCAAATTTTGACCACAGTATAGATTAAAAACACACCTGTTACAGTGGTGTGTGTGTTTTATGTAACGCACAACAAACAATAAAAGGAGGATCTGAGGGGTCTGCAGTAAATTAAACGTTTCCAGTGATGTCTCTCTGATGTATCAGATGAGGATTTTTGTCAAAGGAAAACTTCATCTCACGGCTCTGGGTTAAGTTTCAAAGAAGACTCACTGCCATCACCGCTTTCCTCAACTGGCCTCCGACACAAAGAGTCCTTGGCTGCAAACCAAAATGTAAATATGATCAAGGAAAAAGTAATTAGGAAACATTTTGCCACTATTTTCCATTATACTATAATAATAGCATAATAATTATTAAATCAAAAAACACAAAAAGTAACTTAAACATTCAACAAAATGAATACAAATGCTTGTATTTTCTAAATATTGCATTGTTAAAATGGACAATCACCTGTGCAGGAGAAACACACTATCATCTTATTCCAGTATAAAAACTGAATGACTTTTTTTGCTCTTGGTGTCTTCAATGTTCTTGCACTTAAATGAATATATACAGTTCTGGAAAGAATTCAGAGATCACTTAAAGTGATCAGTTTCTCTGATCTTACTCCTTATAGGTAAATGTTTGAGCAAAATAAATATTGTTCTTTTATTCTATGAACTACTGATAACATGTCTGAAACTCCAAGCAAAAATTCTGAATATATTTGCAGAAAATCAGAAATGGTCAAAACAGCAAAAAGATGCAGTGCTTCCAGAACTCAAATAATGCAAAGGAAACAAGTTCATATTCATTTAGAAAGAACAATACTAATGTTATAACTCAGGAAGAGTTCAGGAATCAATATTAGGCAAAATAACCAGGAGGTCTTCTGTGCAGTGGTCTCAATTTTTTTCCAGAGCTGTATATGTTTTCACTAAATTAAGACCTGTGAGCCCAGACTGCCTTTCACTTACTCTGTACTGCTGGTTTTGACTGGCAGAAGGGGGTAATATGCAGCTTGCAGGTCATTGCTGTCATCACAAGCAGTCCAGCAATTCCCAAAATGAGAATGGCCGTACCTGGAATGAAATGAGACAGTCCAGCTACAGCTTACATCACCCTAGAATCTGAATGTGACAGGAAGCAGGAAACGTCTTACCTATGTGAATGCTTGTAGGCTGCATTGTGTTTCTCACAGTGGGGAGCTGAACAGTAGTTGTGGTGGTACTCGAGAGTGTCTGTGTTGGAGCCCCCTCACGTGGACGACGTGTTGATGAAAGTGAGGGGAAAACCTTTGTGATTGCTGTGGGGGCTGCAGTGGTTTGACTATTATTTATCATCTCATTACACACGACGTCAGAGGTTGAGCTTCCAGCCTGTTTAATCCCTGCAGACTTACAGCTGCAATAACATAACAAAGAGAAAACCAACAGCTTTTAGCTACATGCATATTTGAGGTTTCAAACGGTGTGCAACTATTGAAACTTACTCTTTCCATTTTTGACATGGCGTGTCAATCTCTTTGCTGAAATAGCCTTCCTTGCACTTTGAACAAACTGCCAGTGGGAAAAAGGTTAAGCCTTTGGATCAAATAATAGAACCTAAGAAATTATTTTGACTCTATACCTTACCCCCATTTTCCAGTCCAGAGCCTATATCACATTTACAGACGCCCGAATCCTTTGAAAATGGAACAAAACCATCGCGACATCCACATACAGTATTTTTCACCTTGGTGCACGTCTCTTTGATAAAGCTTCCTGTTTCTGTAAAACCCAAACAATTATATTCTTTAGGATTTAAACTGTAGAGACGGTGATTTGATTTGTAAAAAGAAGCAAAACAAGGCTTCATTCAATGTTTACATTTTATCATTGGCTGTTCATAGAACAGTTTTTAGTCATTACATGTTGGCAAGGTTTTTACTATTACCTTCATCACACGGTGTGCATAATTCACAAGTTTTAGAATCCTTTGGTGTTGCCCGAAAAGTTCCTTCCTTACACGACTCACATGTTATTTTGCCGTTGGAGGTTTCCTTCAATCTCTGACCTACATATTTTACAAGTTGGAGAAAAACAAAAGTTTAACTTCTAAATACATCAGAAGAAAGACAGAAACAACAAAATTCTACATCGTTACACAGAACAAGAACAATTTTTTAAAAACACCCAAAAGGTTATTTTTCCTACCTTTCTCACATTTTGCGGCATCCGAATCAACAGTAAACACATCAAGAGTCAAAATGAATATGAGGAGATTAAACAGAAACATATTAAGTCGTTCTCTGTGAGTCGTGACACGAAGTTGCTTGTGCACAGTGGCACTCGATTGTGAAACAGCAATCCTTGTGTGGGTTTTTAGTCAGCATCACTTCCACTGAAAAAAAAAACAAAGCCCAACCCACTCTGTCAGTCTTATGGTTGGATTTCTGAAGATCTGCAGCTTTAAAGTTAAAAATAATTTCAAAAACATATTATTTATTTACATTCATAACTTCAAAACTCATTCATAACTCTCCCCATTAATAAGTTTTAAATATCTCTCTTTTTTATTTTATTTTTAAAAAAAGATAGAAAATTGCAATAAAAGAAAATCTTATGACATATAAACTTAGAAGGGATGAAGGTCTGTGTCTCTAAAAATATAGTAACAAAAGATAATAATAAAACCAACAAAACCTAATCCTTTTTGTGGGAATCGAGTTATTAATATTGTACAATTTCTCCATGAGAGTTAGTGACTTCTCAGACACTAATTAGTGACACTAGATCTACTGTTGTTTACATTTTCTCTTTGTAAAATGTTTTATAAATCGTTTTTGTGCAACTCTGGATTCACATGCTACATCCATCAAATAATCTTCTTTCCTGGTAAAGCTAAACCTGCTGAAAAAGCAGCTCATATTTTTGCTTTTCCACACTTTGGCCAATATAACAGGACAGGAAAAAGCATTCCCGAAACCACCAGTCATAAAAATGATCTAGTTAGGTTTTAAAATGTTCAGACAGGGAGGTTCTAATTCACCTCTGTGACACCTGTTTCTCTGATCTTTGAACGAGTAAATTTATTTGACTCAAGCTCTTTCTGTTCTAACCATCATTTCCCACAAAGGAGGTCAGTGGTTTCAGGTTGTGACGGAGGATGTTGCCTAACCAAATGCATTGGTTAATTCATGAAAGAAAAAGATGTCAAAGAGCCATCAGGCATTTACATAGAATCATTATTGCATCTTTAAATTTCTCTTCTTATACAGTCAAACTCATTAAATGACTCAGATTATTCATACCAGTGAGGTTTGTTTGTCGGAAATAAAATTGAGAGATCTTCACTGCCCAAAGTGACAGTGAGTAAGGAGAAAGTCTTAGTCAACAAAAATTAGACTAAACGACCATGAAATTGGGATTTTCACGGGCTGGATCTAAAATATGCTCCACTGCCACAAAGTTTTTGTTTCATTTTTTGTTTTAGAAGTTGTTGTAGAAAGTTCATACCTTTAGCATTATAAATGACAAGGTAAATGAATCTTTATATGCTGTAGCGCAACACATAGCTAAAGCAGGGAAACACCACAACATCAGTGAAACATATGACTGTCTGGAATATGAACCATAGCAACATCGAAACGTTTAGAGAAATAATAGCAATGATGTAGTTTGGGAGGGGTGGATAGCTCTTCCAAACTTTGAAAACTGTTGAATTAAGAGTATTACTGAGTTGGTTCTCTCCAGCAATGCTCCCTTTGGATGTGGTATCCCTGCAACCAGTCCTCACATTAGGTATTAGGTATCTTAATGGAAATTTAGTAATAAAGAGGGTAACTAAAACTGACAAGTTAGAAAGTTTTAATACTCACACATAGTTTTAAAAAGTTAGGATTCTATGTATATCCAGCTGTAGTCCTTTTTGTTAATATCCTCCTCTACATCGATTGCGGATCTTTTTTGTAGTATGAGTGACCAGTTGTCTGTTTTCAGTGTTCGATTTCAGCTGCTAGGGTGAGTCACATGCCAGCTTTATTCGTTCAGGCTCAACCAATCCAAGTCCAAACAACTCCTCAAAAGAACATCTCTGTCTATACACTGAGGAGAAACTTTTTTTTGATGATTATGAGAGAAAACCACATTAAGAGCCAGAGTAGTTCTACCAAGCCGGACATTTCTCAGATGAAGGCAACATTTTAGCAAGATTACCGTCACATCTTTGGTTAAGTAGAATAATGTTGGCGACTTCATTCCAGGTAAGTCAATATTTTGTGCATCTCTTGCAATAACTATGTTGGTTCTGGTAACTCAAACTTTGTCCAGGTTCCTCAAGCATAACAGCAACACTGGCTTCATTCATGAGTTTTTGACATGGTGTATTGTAACACAGCAAAAAAGAAACCTTACATGAATAGATTTATAAATTGCCCTAATAGGAAGCTAGCATGCTGTGAAACAATGTTTTGGTAAAGTAACTTGTAGGTTACTCTATGCATGCTGTTGGTTTTTGATTCAGCTGTCCAGAGTTTAAGTCCTGATCTCGAGGAATTTGCTGCATGTCTTCCCTTTTTTTCCAGCTTATTTCCTGTTGGAATGTCGTGCCACAGAATTAAAAAACAGATCTACCTATTATATTTAGTAAGTCTTGATATATACAACTGCAAGTTTCGGATTTGTAAAGTAAGTATAAACTAAAATACGGCTACAGTTTTAGTCTTTGTCTCAGCTCACCATATAGTCAACTGCTATATGGAAGTAAAACCTCTTCCATGGCAGTTTTACTATAGAAGTAAAACCGCTTTCATAGCAATTTTACTTTAAAACTGCTGACTGTTTTCCTTCTAACTCCTGGTTTTGGAGAATTTGCTGCCTCTGGGGCCTCCTGAGTTATTTTTCAACTTCTTAAATCAGTTTTTTTTTTTTTTATTAGAGGCACAGATTAGTTCCCAAACACAGAAAAAAACTGCCTCTGTCTCACACTAAGTTTTGAATTTGTTTCTTAAGTAATTAGCTTATAAACTTGCTCATGTAGGCATTGTGAACTGCATAAATCTGTTTCCAAGCGCTTGCTTCTTAACATCAACACTACTTTAGCACACAATGCTCTGTAAGATAATAAGATGATTGAAGTACCAAAAGCATATTTTTCTTTGCGCTGTTTATTATAGGGAGATTAAGATTGAAATCTGTGTTTTCCAGTCTCCATTACAATAGAGGTTATACTTCGGAAACAAAACATTATCTTCAATAATTAAAATCTGCATTAGAAGTATTTTTGTTATGTTTTTCTAACCTTTATCTGGACTATTTTCTCTTTTTCGAAGGAAAAAGTACACTGCGGTTAAGGTAACGGAAACTCAGTAGCTTTTCGGTAAGAACATGACAGTGTGTGTTTGCATATGGAGTGCACATGGAAATAACCACACACTGATGATTAACCTGCAAGATATACAACCACTCACAAGCATGCTTCTTAGTAAACGGATGTCGAAAACACCTCCACTCTGGCTTGAACTCGCTCATAAGTACGAGCGAAAATACAGGTTGGTTTTTTTTCTGAAAGGCATTTCTGTAATACTGCTCAAAAACTGTCAAAAGTCAGTTCAACATCACTGTGAAAACTGTTATCATTCTGAGAATGAGTGACAGATGAGATGAGTTAATCTTTTACTCACAATGTGAAATTACCAGGAGAGATACATCTTAAATAGTAAAGAACCTGAGTATTTGTTTCTATTTGACCTCACATGAAGAGAAGAGGACTAAAAGCTGTTACTTTAAATTGGGGGAATCGTTCAACAAACATATAAGACATCATAAGATAGCAAACCAGAACTCTTTGGCTTAAGTACATTTACAGATATTTTAATTACACTTTATGCACATTTCTGGTTTCTGTGCATGATTTCATTTGTGTGAATATTACTATATACTATTTTCTTTTTATAGTAGATTTTTCTGAAGATTTGTTTCACTTCTCAGAAAATAAATGAAGTAGTCGGTAATTCTAGACTTCTCTCTTTAAACGTCCTTTGGTAGAGTACGTTTGTCTTATACAAACCCTGTGCAGTCTTGATTTTATTCCACCCGAAACCACTAAACAAATTTGACGTGTATGTAGGGATTATAACACGTATTCTTCTGAGAAATGCAGTCTCACTAATGCAGACTTTTGCATTCTCGTGAAAGGAAAATAACCCTTAAACCACTTTTGGTTTTGTAGAAACAGCAAAAATCTCAAATTATGTATTTTCTGGAAAGATAAAATTCAACATAAAATTTGTAATTAAAGACACATAATTAAAATACCCCTACTTTGTAAGAAATGTACCACACTAGAATAGAAAACAACTAAAAAAAGTAAACGTTTTTACCACTGTAATTAGCATTGAGCTAAATATAAGTATGAGTTACACAAACTTGGGCAAGTTTTGTATGTAATAATAGTTTACAGAACCTAAAATGAAGTTGCAATAAATGGAGTTTCTTTACACAAAATAAAGAATATTGGACTTCTATACACACCCATATATATATATATATATATATATATATATATATATATATGGGTGTGTATAGAAGTCCAATATTCTTTGGAATTCTTTGGAATCCAATATATATATATATATATATATATATATATATATATATATATATATATATATATATATATATATATATATATATATATATAGTGTCTGATTCATAAATTTTATAAATTTTATAAATTTCATAAAATTCATAAATTTTAATATATATATATATATATATATATATATATATATTGTTGTGTATTGTTGTGGTGTATTTCTTGATATTGCCATTTAAATAAATAAAACCTCCATATGTACAATATAAAAACAATTTTCTTTAAACTGTCTTTCAATTTTAATCTTTTTCTGTCTTTTTCACACACGTTTATGAGGTGAAGTCAATCATACGTCCATGCACAGGATGTGCTCCGATGTATGTTTCCGGTAGCAGCATCAGGGACCTGTATCCGGAATAATGAAGGAAGAAGACTGTGGTTACTCTGATCTTATCTGTGAACAAAGCAGAAAATCTTCAGCTGGGAAAAATTAAGCAAACTAACATGGTAACTGTGGTTTTACAAATGCAGAAATGTATTTTTATGAATCAGACACTAACAAGCAACATTGAAAAGAAAAATGCTTTATGTGTAAGATCCTAATTTGCATGATTTTCCTATTATTAAAACACAGTACATGTAACCATAGCAATAATAATAGAGAATTGAAAAATAACAAAGCGTCTTCGACTGATGTGTGTTTAAAACCTGATAAGTGCATTTTCAGTAATAATAATAATAA